GACAAATAAAGGAGGTGGAGGGTAATTCACTCAGTCATCATTTTATTAATTGCACACCTATAACTTTTGGCCACTCTGGGCGCTATTCCTGTAGATTTGAAATCTAGCAATCCTTGCAGCCACAAGCGCTGTATCGCTGTAGCAAAAGTTGACAAACGGTCAACCGGCAAGCCTCCTGTGTCTTTTGATTGGACACTGCACTAGGCATCTAGGTTTGGCTCGGAGGGAGTGAGAAAGCAGCAGAGGCGCACCTTGTCAACAGGCAAACCAAGCAACTGCTTGGAGCCCCGAGCCGCTGGGGGGGCCCCGAGAGCCAGCTACTGTAGACCCGGTAGATAAACAGCAACAGGCGAGCATGAAGTGGCAAGGCTATAGTGACTGAGGAGATGCACAACTGCATATAAAAATTCCGATTGGATGGGACGTTGATTGACATTGGCTTTGCCCAGTCAAAATCCAGCCCAGCCCAGCCCAGGTGGATAACTTCCCTTAATGAAAATGAAATGTAGCCTAGCGAATGGGTGACATTGTAGGCCTATCGTTCAGTAAATTGGAAAGCAATTATGTAACTAAGCTGAAGGAAAATGAAGAGGAGCTATCCATCTGGTAGCGAGAAGAAGAACAAGAAAAAAGATGAAGAAGCAAAAGAAAGAAAGACAGTGGTAAGTGGAGCAGATAATGATTTAAGCATAGCATTAGCTGATAAAAACCTGAGGTCAACCATGTCTCAAGAGAGACTTTCAGGACTGGCGCTTATTTCCATAGAGTATAGTGTGCGAAGGTCTTTGGATCTGGAGGACTTAGTGTCTGCATTTGCACAAGCCAAGGCCCGTAAGCAGCAATTCTGAAAGCAGTATAGGACCCCAATAATTTCACTACACTTACTATACTTTATATTTTGTACAAAGTTTATATTGGGTTTTTAAAGTAATTTACTGTTTTTTATTTTGATACTGTTTACTGTTTTTTTTTTATACATTTATTTTAATTTATTAATTTATTCTTTTACTTTTATTCTTTTATATTTACCAAAATAACAAGGTTGTTCATGTTTAGAACATTTGGAATAAAAAAAAGGTTTTATTTAATACATTTTTCGTTGGTGTCAGATTATTTATAGCCTAACATAATGGTGATGAACACTGGTCGGTAGGGCCCCCTAGGATTTTTTGCTTGGGGCCCCCACAGACTCTCGAATCGCCTCTGGAAAGCAGCTCTCTAGAGAGCACTTCCAGGGCAGACCAGGCCTCATGGGGTGGAGTACCAGCGGCGGAGCTTGCGCATCTTAGTAAGCTTTTGTTTGTAGCCTCCTAACTTTCTCTGTCATATTTCGCTTCTACTAAACATAAAAAATAATAGCAAAGATATATGACTGCATACTTGGAGCAAAGTGTTAACTTACCAGTATAATAATAAGGTTAAGAATCAGCCTGCGCCAACGAACAAACTCCTTTCCATGATCGACTCCTCGCGCATGATCCCTCTCATGTGTTCTCTTTTTCGCCCCTTAGAAGTGGGCGAAATAATAGAGCAAAAGCCTTAGCTCCATGACTATATAAAAGCCTGTGGCCAAAAAGCGATACATTCTACCTGGTCAAATGAACTGGTCAATGACAGTGCGTCTACTCCCAACTTGCATAGTCAGTATTTTAAATCCCGCTTGTAGCATTAATAGTGTCAAGCACTGTGTAATAGCTTTAGAAATTATATAAAATAACTCATACACATCAACTCTTTTGTTCACAAAGTCCACGGTGTGACTTTAATTTTCTTTGCTAAAAGAGAACAAAAAAATCTTAGCAGCACTTATAGCTCAATGTTTTGCTCTGTTTTTGTTGGACATAAGTTGCTCTGACTAACTAACTAGGCTGTGAAGGTTGTTACAGCACGGTTAATCAAAACAATAACAGACAGTTG